TGTGGTCAGCTTGGTGATTATCCTGTTCTCTGGAGCTCAAGCACATGTGTGGTAATTTCCTATTAACTACAGAAATTGGCATGATTGGGTCATGTGACTTTTGTTTCTCCACAGTGGCTTGTGTTCACCTAGAGTTGCTTTAGACGCAGGGCTCTGCCAGCTTTCCCAGGAGCCCTAGTAATGTGTGCCTCAGACCTTATCTAGAACATCAGAGATAAAATGAGATGAGTGAGGGTTTCTGGGCAGCTGCTTCTGTAACAGCCTGACAGGGAGGAAGATACTCTAAGGCAGTGGTTCTCAACCTGTGGGTTGTGACCCCTTTGGGGGGTCACATATCAGATCTCTTACATACAGATATGGTTGTGGGGGGTCACACAACATGAACTGTGTTAAAGGGTCTCTGCATTAGGAAGGTTGAGAACCACTGCTCTAAGGCTCTCTTATTGAAACAATGGACCCAGGAAATTGGAATTATGCTACCCAGGGGGAGAGAATTCTGAATTCACTTGGGGGAGAAGAGAAAGCCTGAAGCCTGGCTCAACCAGAAGAGAACCCTCCCCCCACTCCACCCCACACCCTGCCAAAGAGAGTTACAACTTGTCAGTCAACCTGACAAGGATGGGCAGGACCACACCTTGACCAGAGCTGCTTAGATAAGCCCTCTACTTAAAGCTTTACCTCACCTCAGGACCTCAAAGATGTGATCCTAAATCCAGCAGCATGTCTATGTGATGGGCTTAGGTTAGCAGGTAAGGCTACCTGGCCCAGAACTACAGGAAGTTGAAGGCAGATGCCCAGCTAGGTGATGCTGGTGCAGTCACCTGGCTGCCAAGAACTGTACAGACAGGAATTCATAGACAAAGCTCCATGCCCACAAGATGACCAAGAAGGCTGGCAGTTCTGTTAACAGTAATGAGGCCTGGCCCTTGTCCCGACCTTTTAAACATGAACACAAAACAGCTCCGTGCCTCCTTAGCACAAGTCCCTGCTGATGCTGGAAGTCCCCAGACAAAGGGATTCTGGGAAATGAAGATAGTGGCATCCAGACAGTGCCTTTCATTTTTACGGCTGGCCTAATGTAAAACCTCAACTTAAAGTCGAAGAAATTAAGCAGTTCAACAGCCTCAGTCCTGGAACTCAGCCCTTCTGAACCGACCTGTGACACTTTAACTTTCATTCCCTCCCCTCTCCCATGTGCTGGATCGCCCACCAGAGAAGAGTAAGAAAGACAGCTGGCCAAGTTCCTCAACTGCTCCCACTAACTCAGCTTCCTCACACTGTGGTGGGACCCCTGAGGTACATCCTGCAAGCAACACCCCAGAAGAAAGTCCAGTTCAATTAATCCCAAGAGCTTGGTCGGCCCTTACATCTTACTAAAGTCACTAAATCAAAAGCCCTGTGCCCAAGAGACAAGTATCAACAACTCCCCTCTGTGGTTTTAAAAGACTTATCAACCCGAGGCAGGGAGGTGGGGCAGGAGAAGTTGATCAGTGTTGCTGGGGACACATCACAGAAGCACAAAGTTTTAAGGTTAAGAGCCGTCTTCAAAGGTATTGTCTAAATTACTCATTTGAGAATGAGGTCAACATGGGAGAGTCTCGAGCAGACAAAGTTAATTCTTTGTCACTGTGAATCTTTCCCCACATCGTTTGAAATGCCCAATCTTTGTCTGCTGAGGGGCACTGGGGGGGAGGAGAGGACAGGTAATGGCCGGGGCTCATCAGAACAGTCCTCAAGTCTTTTGCATCTCTGGGTTCAATTTCCATGTGCAAATCTAAGATGTAGATCCTAATAAAGATGTTCTCACTAAAAAAATAAAAATAAGAAAAAAAAAAGTGTTAAGCCAAGAAGAAGAAGCTGGATGGACACAGGGGGCTACACAGTGCATAATTCTATTTATATAAAGTTCAAAAGCAGGCCAAATTAATGTAAACTGTGAAAGGAAACCAGAGAGTGTGCCTTCAGGCAGAGGGGTAAAGTGGACTAGAAGGGGTCTATGGAAACTTTGGAGAGGGGTGAGTACGTGCATTTGTTGGTGAGGCATCTGACACCTGCAACTTATTTTGAATGACATCAAAAAATGGACAGGCCAGTGGGAAGGTTCAGCAGGTAAACACACTCTCCACGGAAGTTTCACAAGCTAAGTTGGATGCCAAAAACCAAGTAAGGGTAGAAAAGGAGATCCAGTTCCACGGGATCTGTCCCACACATGTGTTGTGTCACAAATATGTCATACACACACAATAATAACAACTATACATTTTAGAAATAAAATGAGTTGGGTGACTAGGCAGAAATGTACAAAAAAATACATCAAAATGTTAATTGTAGAATGTAGATAGTAGGTATATAGTTCAGCCTAGAATTAAATCTTAGATAAATGCCAAATGCTGGCAGGGCAATAAAGAGTAAAGAAATTGTTAGAAACAGCAACAAAAGAATAGAAAAGGTATTGTCACCTGTGAGGAAGATATCCACAAGCAGGCCAGACATTCAGAACATTAGATATGGTTATTCTGTTGAATACATCAAATATAATCTTTGATGAGTTCTTGCACTTGCTAAGTACTATGTTATTACCTTAAGTTGAACACTTTTGCAAGCATTGTTCACATCCCATTAAGAATTTCTCACCATTTCCTCTTTCAATGGCTCTGCATCAGTCAGCTGTAACATGGTGTGCTATAGAGTAAACCATTAGAGTCACCCACAACAGTAAACAGTGTTGCCCTGCATATGTTTGTACAGTGTGGCCAGGGACCAGGACAGGTGCTTCCTGTGGTCCAGGCTTCATGTGTCTCTCTTCTTCCTTGGACCAGCAGGCACCTTGGGTCATGCTCTTCTTGTGATGATGACTGCAAAAGAGAACAGGACATTCTACATAAGTGCATCTCAAAAGTGCTCCACCATCTGTGTTAAAGTTACATTTTCCAAAGCAAATAAAAATGCATGCAAACAGTCACAGGTACCTATATACCCAGACCTGGAAATGGAGGATTCGTCTCAAACTTATTATTTATCATTGTAAGACACTCAAGGATTATTTTATCTCAACATCCAGGGAATGGGCTAGAAACCCTTTTCTTCTATCTGTTCACTTGAATGGACTGTCCATAGCTCCCACCATGAAGTAAAAAAAGAATAATATTAATCAAATCTTGAGCATATAAACAGACCAACTCAAGTGGCCTATTCTGCTTTGCCTCTTCAGCTCCCCTCAGGGTAGAATCCCAAGGGAAAATTACAAAAATCTGGCTACGAGAAGAAACACAGGACACTTATTTTCCTGCTTTAGTGGAAGTCAATTAGAGTTTCAATTTCCTTCTCTAAATGTCACCTTTTTACGACATCCTGGAGGAAGAGTTGGCAGCCCTTTCATGAGGTAAAGAAGCTTCTAAAACGATGCAGAAGGGTCCAGAGATTAAAGGACCCTCTCGAGCTGTCTAAGCTTCCCAGAGCTCTCCGTTTCTATTTTGAGAGGAGCATTTGGCTTCCCATGTAGCCTCAAGTGAGCCTTTTGAATCTCCTGCCGCACTTTTCCACCATTTGCAAAAAGGGGATAATAAGGTTCGCTGCTGGCGACGCATCCAAGGTGCTCCGGAGGAAGGCTGGCTTCTGCAGGAGAACCTGGCAGCGCGCTCTCCCCAGGTGCCAGATATTCTCAGTGTCTGGTACCCCTAATTAGAGCATCTGCTCTTTCTCAGAGAATTTAGGCAAAAGGCAGAACAAATGGAGCAGAGAAGATCCCTTCCCTTGCCTCTGCCGCAAAGTAGGCATGTCAAGTTGAGTGATGAACCGTCGCCATTCTCCACTTGCAAATGCTGTGTACCCTATTTTCAAATTAGGAAGCACATTGTTGGCACACCCGAAAGGTTAAACATTCCCACTTCATTGCTGCAGTCACTAATTGGAGCTTTATCACCGTTTCTGTAAAGGGAATGTCTTGTCTGCAGAAACAGCCCCTGCCCCAACAGAGCTAAGATGTGGGGATCATCTCCAGTTTCTAAAGTTAGACTCTAAATCGCTCTCCTGCTCATACCTAACAAATACAGTAAAAAAGTAAAATTGATACTTCTTTAAAATGATGTGTGTGTGTGTGTGTGTGTGTGTGTGTGTGTGTGTGTGTGTGTGTGTGTAGGCCAGAGGTTATCTCCCTCCATTACTCATCAGCTTATTTCTTGAGACAGGCTCTCTAACAGAACCTGGAGCTCACCAGTTTGGCCAGACTGGTTGGCCAGTAAACATGAAGGATCCTACTGTCTCCACTTCCTAGGAGCTGGGATTACAAACACACATGACTATGGCTGGCTTTTTATGTGAGTATTGGGGGATCACATTCAGGTCCTCATGCTTGCATGGTAGGCACTTTACTGGTGAGCTATCTCCCCAGAGCCTTGAAAGTTTCATAAAAATTATTTTTCAATCACAAGGAAACTTATTTTCTGCCTCTGTGGACATGGTTTTCAGAGTGCAATCAACTGTAATACTAGAAAGAATTCAAAGCGGTTAGTCCTAACATTTTATCCTGGGGCTCTTACTACGGAGAGTGCTTTGAGGGTGGTGACGTGGAGGGATGAGGTGAGGGGAGCAACTGGGTTGTGAAGATCGGAGAGCCCCTATGTGGAAAACTGAATGTTGCTGTCAACAACATCTTACGGAAGGCCTTTTCTACAATAGAGAAAAGTCCCTCACTGGATTAGGAATATTTATAATCATCATCTAACACTGCAGAAGAAAAAAACCCATTCAAGCCAGTATAAAAGCATCTTTGACCCCCAAGTGTCTACCTCTACCACCATAGATAAATTCATCTAAAAGTGTTTGTTGGGCTGGCAAGATGGCTCAGTGGGAAAAGCACTTCCCCCCAAGCCTAATGGGTAAGACCTTGTCTCAATAAGCAAGAATAATCTAGCATATGTTCCTCACTTTAATAATTTTGTTAGTTTTAAATAACGGGAGCTAAACCTGTGCTCTAAATTTTCTCTCTTATTCTTTTGCAGCAAATGTTGCTCTTGAGTCATGCCTGATCACTGACTGCAGTGTTCCAAGGCATGAGACCTCTCCGTGAAGAGTGCTTCTTTGGGGAGCTGTGGAACAAAATGGCAGCAAGCATTTACAGCCATCCAGCTAAGGAAAAAAAGATGAATCCTGGGTGAGAGGGACGACCTGCTCCACAAACATTCTGCTTCTGGGATTTGAAACTTACTCAAATCCTTGCCTCTTCTTTCACACAGGGGCTACTTTCCCACCCCACCCCACCCCTGCTCCTCACCCCCACTCCTCCACCCCACCCCTGCACTGAATTCAGGAAGGAGCTCTAGTGGAGTGTCTACCACCATTTATCTGTTATCCTTGCAATTTCACCAACAACACTGACAGTGTCCACTTCTGAAGCCTCAACTTGATGGTTCTGTCTCTTCCCATGTGTCAGTATTCTCTTTTAAGCTGAGATGGTTTGTTGAGAAGTTATTTAAGTTTTTGGAAACTCAATATTATTTCCTTCCGAGACGGCAGTATCCTTCCCAGCACTTTCTGTAGGAGCGTGCTTCTTCCTCTCCTGTTAGAGGGCCTCCGGTCAGTCTCAGTGGGTCAGCAATGAAGAAGAGAAGGAAATGGGTACCAAGGCTGGCAATCAGGTACCAGGGTCCCTATGTTAGCAATTCTGAGAAGACAGAGGAGTTTCTTTTTTACAACCCATATGTAGTTTAAGACATATAACACGTTGTGGCATTTGCATAATGCCCTATTGTACATGTTTAATCCTCCCCTAGATCATTAGTCATCAATTGCTGCTGATTGGGAAAGTGTAACTAGAACATTCTGTATCCTTTTCCCTTCAGTGTGGGCCTAGATTTATGACTTGCTCTCTTCGTGTAGTAAAAATAGAGGCTTGGGAGAACTGTGTATTAGGACATCTCCTTTCTTGCTATTGCAAACCTTCCATCACCATGTGAAGAAGTCTGGGCTAGCCATATGGAAGTTGAGCAAGCTGCCAGCCATCATAGGCAACACCCTAGATAGAATTAATATCATCCAAGACCACTGTGCCCAGGTAGTCAGCCCAGAGGGAAAATCCTACAAATTTCCTATAGGATCATGAAAACAAAAATATGTTGCTACTATACACTTTAGAACAGCAAATGCTGGCCACAGTGTAAACAAAAGAAACCTTCATTCATTGAAGGTGAGGTACAAAATGCCACAGTCTTGTTGAAGACAGATCAGTTCCTCCCACTAAACCAAGAGGTGGCGCTGTAGCTCAATGGTTTAGTATTTGCCTGGCCTGCACAAGGACCTAAGTTCAATTCCCAGTACTGCAAACAAGTAAATGTGGCCAAGTAGGGTGGCACTCATCTGTAATTCTAGCCCTTAAGAGACTGAAGCAGGAGAGTTTCATGTTCAAGTTCAGCCTGAACACAAAACAACAGGAAAAATAAATTTGCACATAGTTTTACTATTTGCCAAGCAATCATGCTTACTGGCATTTATCAAAACAGATTGAAAGTATTGTATACTATTTTATTGCAGCTTTATTCTTAGCTGATGAAACTTAGAAACAACCAGGATGCCTTTGGGTAGGTGAACAGACAAATACAGCCTGGTGAATCCAGACAATAAACTATTATCCAGCATCAAAATCCAATGAACTATCCTATACAGAGAAACCTTGACTGCACATTCCCAAGTGAAGGCAGCTTACAGGACAGGAGCTTACATGACAGGCGATACAGCATGCACAAGGCATTCCAGACTATGTAACCACAAGAAGCTCTAGAAAAGGAAAAACATGAAGTTGAAAAAAATATCAGTGGTTTCCAGGGGCTGAGAGAAGACAAATAGGGAAAACACAGAGGATCTTGGGAAAATAAATGTTCTGGATGATCCTTTCCTAATGGGTACATGTCATTCTACATTCATCAAGACTCATAGACTGTACAAAACCAAGAATGTGCCCTAATGTCAACTCTGGACTTTGGGTGGTAGTGTGTCCGTGTAGGGTTGTTGGTTCTAATGGACACACCACGCTGCTGCAGGGTGTTGATAGTGGGGAGGCTGAACAGGAGCAAAGCGGTCAAGGGTCAAATGGGAATGCTCTGTGCTTTCTGCTCCATTTTTCCCGTGAACCTAAAACATACCTAGAAACTTACGTCCATTCTAAAGACTCTGTGTTACTGTAAGCCTCTGGGTTTATAATGACATTTTACATAATGTTTGTTACTTTTCCTGAGGAGATGTGCAGAAATCCCTATTCACCCTAGATAGAGAAGGCAAAGACAGACGAAAAAGAAAATGCCATCCAAGCCTAGCCTGATGAACCAATGAGATTATCGGGGTTAAGGAGCATGGATACCTACCTGCAAAGCGGCTTCATGGTGGGAAAGAAAGCCCTGGTGAAGAATGGGTGAGAACTCGCACAGCATCACCGGACCTTCCTGTGGAACTCCCAGACAACTGCATCACCCCCGTGTCCCCTTTGTCATCAGCAGTCACTTACTGGAACCCTGAGCAGGGGTTTTGTGAGCCTTGACACCCCCTCATCTCATGAGTCCTGTAACTTTCCCATCAGAGTGTGAGCTATCAGATCTCCTCCAGGAGTGCTTCGAGCCAAGGAAACAGCCAGACAACACACAGCAAACATTGACCCTGTGGGGAGGGGTCAAACCAGAACCAGAGAAATGCACGCTAGAAAAGCACGGGTGGACTCTGGTGTGAGCTCTGCCCATGCTTCTAATTAGGAGTGTTCATTAAAACCAATCCAGGATGGGTGCCATTTTAGAAGAAACACTCACTTTATCTGCCCCTGGTCTTTCTGTTGAATCCTTATTTCTAAGGGAAGGAATTCCTTCCACTGTGGCTCTCGTAGTAAAAATTCCAGTGCTTATGAGGCTGAGGCAGGAGAATCTCAAGTTACCAGCCAGCTTAAGCAACTTTAGGAAAACCCTGTCTCATAAAGAGAATTTTTTTTGAGACAAGATCTAACTATATAATCCTGGATGGCCTGGAACTCTCCATGTAAGCCAAGCTGGTCTTGAGTTCACAGAGATCTACCTGCCTCTGCCACTCAAATTCTGGGATTAAAAGAGTGAGCCATCATTCTGAGCCAAAAAGTTGTTTTGGTTTGTTTGTTTGGGGGTTTGTGGGTTTTTTGTTTGTTTGTTTTTTGTTTGAGAACTTGTAATGTAGTTAACTGGCAGAGTACTTGTTTAGCACACAGGAGGCCCTAGGTTTATCTAGTGTTTGGCCTAAGCAACTACTACAACTATGAATTCAAACTTGCTACTAAGTCCCACATTCTTCAGAGCCTGTTTTGGGTCACAAAAGCAGAATCTTTCTATGAGGGAAAGAAACACAGCAAGATGTGCTAGCAAAGGCCTTGGGAAGCTGAGGCAGAAGGATTGCCATGACCTCCACCCTGGGGGTACAGAATGAAACTCTGTCAAGGGGAGGGGGAGGGGAGGGAGGAAGGGAGGGGAGGGGGAAGGGGAGAGGGAGAGGAGAGGGGAGGGGAGGGGAGGGGAGGGGAGGGAATTCAGGTGTTTACTAGCAAAGAAGGTAGGAGGCTCTCAGCTTGAGACACCCATTCAGCATACACACGTGTCCTGCTCCAGTCACCTGACCCAATACAGTCCTGGTCATCAGTGTCAAGGAGAAGGAAAAAAGAAATATTTGCTCCCTAAAAACCAAAATGAACTCACCACCCCTGCCCTCCCTGCCCCGCCCCACTGTATTACCTCACTGTTGATGGGGAAGTGCCGCCCCATTGAAGACCAGAGACCTCCTGAGGTGTGGGACAGGGTGCTGAGAACACTGCCTGAGGAGGTAAAGAAGAAAGTTCCCTGTCCATGAAAGGCTAAAGCCCAGGCCCTGAGCTGGGGTTCCAGCAGTGGTAAGGTGTGGCTCTCTCTCGGCAGGTGTGCAAGCTGAAGTCTCCATCTGCCTCTGCTACACTCCGGGAGTTGGAGAAGAGATCAACAGAGCACAGCACACTCACAGGGAGAGCTGGCCATGGTCTCAAAGGACAGTCTCTGAGTTGACCAGAATTCCACCAAGGTCGGGAATCAGCTGTTAGCCTTATGCCTTTTGTCTTTCAATGTGCTTCTTAATTCCACATGAAAATGACAACCCAGTTAGAGGAAGGCCTGGGACTGAGCATCTATCTATCCCTGGATTGCTTCACCCCCAGTCTCCTCCCCCATCCACAGGGCAATCAGGAAATGCACGGAAAATCACCATCCACCCACACTCCACTAAGGGAAAGACAGAAATTATCTTGGGAACTTAAGCCGACACATTCAGGTTTTCCGAGTTTAAATCAAACAATGCCTCAGGGGAAAGGCCTCCCTAAATCCTTTGTCTATGACTATGTAGGTCAAAAAAAAAGTGAGGGGTTGAACTAAAGCAGGCTTTTCTACTGAAAAGGTTGTGTGTGTGTGTGTGTGTGTGTGTGTGTGTGTGTGTGTGTGTGTGTGTATGTGTGTTACTGTATTACTGTGACACTGGAACACCTTTTACCAACATCAGTAAAGTGCAAATAAAGCACATTGTGGCAAGAATGCAAAGTAGCCTGAACTCTCATAGCTTTCTGGTAGAGATGCAAAATGTAATAGGACACACACACACACTGTTGTTAAATATTTGCAGAATGTCAGGAGCAAGGGAATGTTTGTATTAAGTGGTGTACTTAATTACAGACACTAGAATCCACTCTAGTGTAAGCAGATTGACAGGAGAACCATCAAAATTTGAGAAGCATGCTGATTGAGCTGGGAAAGATCTCCCTCGGGTATTGCCAGGTCTTCGATGGTATGTTGATAGCCAAGAATAAATGTGACATTGCCAATGATTAAACATGATGTCACCCTTGTGAAATTTGAGAGCAGGTACTATGGTAACCATCACTGGTAAACCAGAACAAGGGGACTTTATGGGAAAACATGATTACAGGCACATCTCAGATTGTGCTAGCCTGATGATTGCAGCTGCTGGTGAATGTGAGGCAAACCTGACGCCATGCCTACTGGCTTATATAGGATGTTAAACAAGAAAATTAATCCCACTGAGCAACCCTATGGCCTGAAGAGAAGAAGGATATTGTTAAATAAATCTGTAAGAAGCACCTGTAATAAGAAATTGGATCCAATACTAACATGATAACATTGTGCCAATTTCTTTTTAGTGACAATCTACTGGAGCCAACCACCAATATCCTTTGGTCCAAGGAATAGAAAACCTCCCCAAATGTGAACATGCCAATGGAGACATTGTGTCTCCATTGAATTTTTGCATAATTGTCAAGGTCCCTACCTGTCTTCCCTTCAAAGTAGCTACTGTAATTGGAGTATTAATTAGAGTGGCATGTAGGGCAGAGCTGAAAGTGTTCTCAAGCCACACACAGCTCTATCATTCTGGGAAAGAACAATATTGGCTCAAGGCACTTAAGCATGACTTAAGTTTGTGGGACAGGTACTGTCCCTATGGGCTGAGTAGAAATTAGCATACTCAAACTCACCATGGTAGCTTCAGTCAATGTCCCAACTGAGGTGAGTTAAAATGCAACATGGCACTTTGAATAAAATTCTCCATGGATTCGACATGGACGTCAAGTCATGTTTACTGTAGCAATGGTTAGTAACAAGATAAATGACCCAGTGATGCTAAAGCATTTAGTTCTCAGATGACCATCCTGCACATAGAGTCCACATCAGAACTGCCCACGTTTCTGTACTGGACTCACACCTGGATGCCATTGCTCTAAGTTTACTGAACAAAAGAAGAAAAAAAAGACTACCATTCTTGTGAGAAACTGGAAGCTGAAACTAAATTCTTGAAAACTAGCTTTGTGCCCACAATTGATATGATGCTTGGAAAGTCCTTGTATTGTGTTATATGTCGCTTTACCATTCATGAGACTGAGTTACTGTGGGTGTCATGAAAGCATGGAGAAGACTGTGGGAGCTTGCAAAAGCTTGGAGGTCTGAATGAATAGTGTCCCTATCAGCTGCTATATCTCAGTCCTAATCAGTGAAAGAACAGTCTCAGAACTGAGGCTCAACGGACCATTTGAGATTAATGGCAAAAATACAGATAATGACAGCAATGTATTTAACACAGTCTGAAGAGAAGGAGAATGTTTTGTGGACTCTTTAGTTGTATATATAAATTTCAATTTGTGATTTTTTTCTATTTAGTGCCTTTTAGAGAAAATTACTTGACCAAAAAATCTGTCAGAGTATTTTGATACTCACTAAAATAAATTAAAAAAAAAAAACTTAGAGTCTGAGCTTCCTTAGAAGAAATCCCAGGGTCTGGAGAGATGCCTCAGTGGTTAGGAGCACTGGCTGCTCTTCTAAAGGATCAGGGTTCAATTCCCAGCACCCACATTGCAGCTGACAACCATATATAACTCCAGAGTCAAGTCAACACCCTCCTCTGGTCTCCTTGGGTACCAGGAATACATGATGTGTCCACACAAAACATCATTACACATAAAATAAATATAAACCTTTAAAAATAATAAACTTTAAAAAGAAAGCCCACTATGCAGTAGTCCCCACATTGTGAAGAAGCCCAGATGCACAGAGCAGCCACATCTGGGTGTTCTGATCCCCTTCAACTTATTCTTTTTTTTTTTTTTTTTTTTTTAAAGATTTATTTATTTATTATATACACAGAAGAGGGCACCAGATCTCATTACAGATGGTTGTGAGCCACCATGTGGGTGCTGGGAATTGAACTCAGGACCTCTGGAAGAACAGTCAGGGCTCTTAACCTCTGAGCCATCTCTCCAGCCCCCCCTTCAACTTATTCTACCCCAAGCATTGGACAAGATTATTGAGCCATCCTATCCTTGAATTCTTCCCAATAAGACCACAGAAACTGGAGATCAGACACACATCACCCCTGTGTTTTGCCCAAACTGACCTACTGCATCCATTAAGCATAATAAAATGGTTGGCTTAGTGGCTGTGCTGTGGAGTAGTTTATTAAACAGCATTCATAACTGGAAAGGCAAACTGCAGAATGAATGATGGATGGGCCAGTTATCCTGCAGAAGCTCTGGTACTCTGGGTATGGTCCTCAAAGGCGTCTTATGGCAAGGAAGCAAATGAATGATGTTCATACAACTTTATTTCCAAAACCAGAAAGCCAGTCCATGGGTCAGAGTTCGCCAACCCCTGCTTTAGGCAGATCAGTGATTTATTTTTCCTCGTGCAACAAAAAAGACCTAAAGCAGGCAGCTGTGACAGTTTAGCAAGATGCTGGTTGGTGCTGCCACCATCCGAAGGCTCAAGGAGAGCTGGAGAATCTGTTTTCTGTGTGGTCCACTTAGGATTGACAGGTGAACAATCGTTGGTGGCTTTCCTTGTAGCACTGCTCGAGTATCCTTACAACATGGAGGCTGGGTTCCCACAGAAAAAGCTGTTCAAGAAAACAGAGTCGAAGCAATGCTTCAGTGCTTTCTGTGGTGGCTTTTAATGTCCTCACACTATTAATTTTGCTGTGTTCCTTTTATTACCATGGGTCAGCTCCAAATCAATGAAATAACAGCTTGGGAGAGCCAAAATATAAGGAGGTGGCAGACACTGAGAGACATCTGAAAAGTGTATGGCTACAGTACATGCCATATACCTGGACAAGAAAAGGGACCTGCCATCTCTGAAGGGAAGGACCTGACAGTCACTGAAGACATTTTCTGTCTCCCACTATTATTATTATTATTATTATTATTATTATTATTATTATTATTATTATTTTATTATTTATTTATTGTCGAATGACAGCTGAGAAGGCTTGTACTACAAAGGATCTCTCTAGCAGGTGGAGTTAGCCAAGGTTAGGAGGCTTTGAAGGCCCAAGACTAGACTGAGAACAGCAGTTGTAAGAGGCATCTTTGAGCAGACCAGCTAATGCTTGCTTGGCTTCTGGCCTCTGTTCTGTATCAGACTTTTCCTGAAAGGGTGGGCTCTGTGTTTCCTCCACTGTATTATGCACATCAGTTTGCCTTCCTTTCTGGGACAACTGCCCATGAGACACCCTTAGTTTTCCATCTCTGTGTCTTTCAAAACAGCTCAAGAGATTTCAATCATCATCAGCCACTCATCTCAGGCTGGACCACCAAGCCGGCATCTCTGGGGGATGGAACTTTTTGAAGGTTTCTGATGGGATGTCCAGGTTGCCAGCTTCTCCCACGAACACCAGACCCCTTTCACTGCAGCCAAGACCAAATGTCCTGACAGCCATCTTCCACGTGTAACTCATTTCTAGCCTGTGGTTTCTTAAACCACAAGTTCATTATCAGCGACTCCTTACCTAGGTCCTTCCTCGCCTACACTTTGCAATTTCCATTTAATCCAAATCACTTCATTGCATTGCATCGTATTGGAAGATCCAGGCTGCAGATTCTGTGGCCACTCAGGCCCTCCTCTCACCCCAAGCAGCACCAGCAACACTCCACGGGCTCCATTTCATCCATGCTGTTGATAAATGTTCTGTCTGGAGAAGAGCCCTATGGCATTCTCCCAGCAAATTCCTGTGAGGAATTTATCTGCCACAAATATCCTGGCAGCGTCCTTATCGCTACGATTTCCCCCAACATCCCTCACAGCTGCTCTAGGGTTATAAGAGCATCTGTATTTCTAGCACATTCTGTGACGGCATCTCAGGCCTCCCCCTGCTATTTTTTCCCCTAGTTTCCACAAATCATTCTAGGAGCCAGCCCAGCATTCTCCTGGGGAAAGTGGGGTGGGTGTGGAAGAGGAAACTGAGTGCTTCTGCCTCTTCTGGGGGGCAGATTTTAGCCAGACATTGGATAACGGCTGCTGCCCTTAGCAGCTGTGCGCCCCTCGGCAAGCTGCTTCGCGGCTCTGTGCCCCCATGTCTCATCTGTGGAAGGAGGAAAGGAGTGCTTTTCTCACAGTGTCATTGTGAGCATTAATGTGAGCGTGTGAGGATGCCGAGAGCGGCGCCTACGGAGCACTGTGGAAGAAATGGCCGTTGCCATCACCATCACCAGTGCTGCTGATGCTCCCACTATTCCAGCAGACATCTGCCCCAGGAGGGGTATCTCTTTCTTATACCTTGTAAGGGGAAAACTATCCACATCTTTAATCGTTTGTGTCTCCATCTTCAGTTTCCTAGGATGGACATTTCAGGCTACTGGAATCTTATCTCTTCCCCTTTTTCTGCTTATTTAACGCTATGAATTTCCCCCTAAGCACTACTCATTCCATTCTGCACATTCAGGTCAGTTGTTTTCATTTCCATTTCTTTCTAAATATGTTACAACTCTGTCAAGAACTCTTTTTTGATCTGTGGAGTCAGAGGAGAAAAAAATGTGATCAAGATATATTGCATAAAAAAATTAAAATAAAAAGTATGTCATTGAACACTCAAATATTTGAAGATTTCTCCAAAAGATTCTCCCTTCATTAATTTCTTTTTGTTGTTGTTCATTTGTTTTTGTTTTTGTTTGAAACAGGGTCTCTCTGCATAGCCCTGACTGTCCTGAACTCACTATACATCCCAGGCTGGCCTCAAAGTCACGGAGATCTGCCTGCCTCTGAGTGCTGGGATTAAAAACATGTATCACAACACTGGCCCTTCATTAATTTCGAGTGTAATTCCATTGTGGTCTGAGAATTGACTTTATATGGCTGCTATTATTTTAAATGTTTAAGGTATATTTAATGATTCAGAACATGATCTCTTCTGGTGCATGTTCCATGCATGCTTGAACAAAACTGTGGATTCTGCTCTCTGTGAAAGGAGTATTCTATGAAAGTCAATTAGATCAAGTTGATTAACAGTGCTGTTGAGGTCAACTCAATCTTTATTGCTTTTCTGACTTCTGGATCTATAAATTACTACCAGGAAGATGTTGAAGACTCCAACTACAAAAATGGATTCATCTACTCCTCCTTTCGGTTGTCTGGAGTTCTGCCTCCTGTGTTTTGATGCTGGGTTGGTAAGCACATGCGTGGCTGTGTCCTCTCAGAGAATTGACCGTGTTTGCCATTTCACAGCGCCCCTCTTTTCTCATGGCAACTTTATTTGTTCTGATGTCTGCTACTAACACTGATACTTCAGACCTCTTTCAATTAGTGTTACCATGCTATATATTTTCTCATCTTTTTATTTTCAAGCTATCAGTCTTCATATTTTAAGTGGGCCTTGGGTGTTCTAAGGTGCAGCTTAGTGGTAAAGCACTTGCCCAGCACGTCCAAGGTCCATGGATGACCCCCAGCACCATGAAGTAAACAAATACAGAGGTTTCTTATAGAACTCTTATAGTCGTTGCCATGGAGCTTAGAAAACACATTTTAAACTAGTCTAAGTCTCCGTCGGATAGCTCCCTACCACTTCACCCATAATGCAGGTACCCTGTGAAGGGCATTCTCGACCCCGTCCTGTGCCTTGTGACACTACTGCCATTTGTTTCACTTTTCCATCTGCTGTCAAATACACTGGTGCTGTTGCTGCTTTCCACGGGTATGC